AAAAACTTACCTAACTTATATCTTGCCACAATTAAAGTGCATGCAATGCGTGTACAACATCAATTCAGGAAGAAAACAGGGTGTAGTGTAAAATGTCAATAAAAACAAAATCTCAAAAACCCTTTTTTATATACAATGGAATTGTGGTTGTATTAAACTACTCATGTAAAAACAGAGTGAAGTGTTATTAATTACAACATACCTCGTTTTCAATCTCAGAGTATTCACTCACTCTCTCCACAGCCACGATATTTGTTTCCAGCTCTGAAGTCATCCTCACCAGCCAGTTGAGGGTCTGAGTCACCTGAAAATGCACAACAGAAGAACAGTCTTTAGATGGTTAGCATGACTGCAATTCTTTTCTGTTAAATACATTACAACATCCCTTCAGTTAATTTCACAACAGAGTAATTAGGGGACTCACATTAAGAGCATATGATATGGATAGGCCAACAAGACCACTGTCGAGGGAGTTCCTGGAAATTACAGCAAATAGAGCAGAAAAAAACACCACCAGATTTCCTAGAAACTCCAGACGAACAGCCAACCATCTGTTGAGTGACCAAACGGGACACAGAAATATGCAAACATATAGGTAAGTTAACAAGAGGTTCTCATTAAACTGGAAAAAAAATTGTGTTTTATTGGTGGTCCATTAACCTACCTGTTTGACACAATCCATGGATAGACGCTTTTGAGGTTTTCGTCGATCGTCACGTGGTTGTGTTTAAGAAACCTTTCTTGGTGGTTGTAAGCTCTTATGACAGACAGACCAGACACAGTCTCACCGAAGTGAGAGTATATAGGAGAGCGAGACACAGAGTCCAGACGGCGCAACTGTCGTGACGTCGCAACGTAGAACCGCTAGATGTGGAAGAAAGTACAAAACAAACAAAAAAAGTTGATTTAGATTACATATTACATAACATATAACAATATGTATCGGTATGAATATTACAACAAATATCTATTCAGTCTTTAAACTGGAGCAAACATGAACTGTCTTTGGTACAACCCAGTGCCTGGTGAAGTGGTATTAGGAATATTAAGTATACTGATTAAGTGTTGGTTAAAAAAAAATATCCTTTCATTATATACATACAAAAAGAAGCCACACAAATACTACCTAAATTTCCTTGACAATAAGTACAAATATTATTATATTATAGTAGTCCCTCGTATATCGCGGGAGATCCGTACCCTGAAGCCCCGCGATAAGTGAAAAACCGCGAAGTAAGAATAGTAGTACAAGTAGTAAGTA